ACCGTTTTCACTTGTCCTTCTTGCGACCACAAAAATTTATGTGTATCGTGTATTGTTACGTTATTCATTTGTTTATACTTCAATCAATTCAATAATACCACATATGATTGATATTATCTTTATAACAAAAAAAAAGGAGTAATATAACTTGTTTCCTCTTCCATACATAACTAAATTATATTTTTTATGGTATAATACATGAATACATGATATAAAACTCTATTTATTATTTTAAATAAAAAAAAGTAATTTTTCATAACTGTTATTCAAGTATACTTTTCTTATTTACAATAAATATATTTTATCTGAATACAGTGAGAAAATATTTTATTTTGCACGAGTAAGTCAGTTGAGATTTTATTGTTTTTATCTAGGTATTATTGATCACCAGATAAATAATATCACATTTGTATAAAATTTACATTATTTTTCATTAATATCTTGCATCACCAGCACTAACTACAGCAACAGGTGGTAATTCTGTTGGTTCATTTCTTACAGGTCCATTGAGTAAACTTATAGATGTTGATGCATCACCTTCTAATCCTTCAAACCAAATAAATATTCTTGCAATAATAAATCTTCTTTTCTCTAAAAGTCTTTTAACATAAGCATGATATGTATACCAAGTAAGTACTGTTAATAAACATCCAAGAAATACATCAACAGTGTAATGAAATCGAGTAGCAATAATAATGAAATAACCAACTACAGTATAAAACCAAACAAAATAAGTTGTTAAATAAAGTGTCATTGGATCTCCTACAGCATCTAATTTTGGTCGAATTAACCATTCTGGACAATGACATCGTCGTTTACAACCACATTTGCGATAAAGAAATAAAAAAGGTCGATATTCTTCTGCACGAGCATATGTTGTCCAACAAAGAGCACAAATTGTTACTTAAATAGAAAAACAAAATAGATTAACTTGACGTTAATTGTTTAGAAATAAATCCTTACATGCCACTGTATGACCTGAAAAAAGTACATCTCCACATGTCGCACGTATTCCAACTATAACATAAAAAGCTTCGACTGGTGGTGTTGCTAATTCTGTTATATTAGTGATACAACCTGGCTGTGGTACAGTAAGTGAAGTAACATAAATAGAAATACTGCGCATGCCAAACATAATACCTTGTACAAAAAACCAACGACGAAAAACAGTGACACGAATGTCTGATTGAGGTAAAAATCTTATAAATATAAATACATAAGCAATAATAATCAAATAATTATTTATTTGAAAATAACTCCAATAAGGTAATAGTTTATGACCAATATCAGGTAATGCTGGTCGATAATAAGGTGCAATACGATCAGCAATTGTTGTTACAATAGCATTAGTATAAAAAAATATAAGAAAAAAAATCAGTGAACTTAATAATGGTAAATATTTCTGTATACAACGGCATGTTATGATGTTACAGGCCATGAAATCTTAATTATTCTGACGACAAAATTTTGTGGAATGTAGTGAATTGCTATCACATTTTTGTCTTTTCAACTATGCAAAAAAATAAAAAGCGAGAGCATTGAGTAAAAAAAAAGAAGCAAAAAACGATGTTTATCGCGCTTCTCTTCATCCTGCGCAGAGTACTAAACAGTAAAAAGAAAACATTTTCTTTTTTTTTTCTTGTTGCCATACGCATGGTTGGTCTACAACACGTGAGAGAGAGAAAGAAGAAGAAAGAATTCAAAATCTCATTCTTTTTTTATTCCAGTTCAACTAGTAGTTTAACAGGTATAGCCTTGTTCACCAAGAAAGACTACGAAAGAAAGTCACATTTTTGTTAATTTACTTGAATATTTGTATTGGATTTTTTTTGACAATTCCAATTAGTTCAGTAGATTCATTATAAATATATGTGTGTTTATTACATTTGACCTTGTATGATGCCATGAATCATTATTTGAATAATCGACAAACACATTAATTCTTGCATTGAATTCAGTTTTAGTTGTTCTAAGAGTACAATTCGCCTATAGTAATTCAAAGAAGCAATAAACGAAACTGTTGAACAAGGTGAAAAGAAATCTTTTGTTTCATGTGGCATCAAATATTACTTTTTCTTTAACAAATAATGTCACTGAAGCTTTGAAATCCAAATATAAAAAATAATTGACAACAGATAAACTACAATTTTAATACTATATCAACGACTATATTTGTTTTTATTAATATCTAGAACAACTAGCATTGTAATCATACATATCTCTTTTAAAAATAAGCTTTTTTTTGTACATTTTTTTGTAATTTTAATTTCAAAACATGAAATAATGTTCTAAAATCCATAAATAATTTTTCTCGGTTTTATATGAAATACCATCCAACTAGTAGTACAAAATCAAACTCTAAAAAGCATATTTTTCACCAATATCTTACGATTAATACCGAATAATTTTTCAAATAATATTCTCAAATACGATTCTCTTTGATATAGCTCGCATGAAGTAACGTATATAAATTTATGATGGACACTTATAAGCTTCTTCTTTTTAGAACATGACTATCAAAGTTTCTTGTTAGCGTGTTTACGGTTGTAATGGTTCAAATACTATGTGAATAATTTATGTCTGAAAGATAAAACAGTTGTCAGATTACATAATCATATTGTTGTAAAATTTTTAGGTTTTTAATACACAATCGAAATAGAATTATTTCAAATACGGAATGCTTTGTCCGAAAATAATAAGCTTGTTTTTGTGATAGATATCAATAAAAACTCTTACATCGATATAAAACAATTATATCCAACACGCATTATAAAATATATAGTCATAAAAAAACAAATATGACATAAAGAAATACAAGAATGAATAGATTAAAAAGAAAATGAAGGGAAGAAAAGAAATACAGATATGAGCAACTTAATAAAAATTCAAAAAAATAGATTTATGCTTGATTATATGAACATTAATGCTAGTGAATGAGAATGAGCATGAGAAAAAAATTGAACAGAAAGAAGAAAAAAAGAAATACCTGCAACTAATCATATAATGAAACTGTAATAAAGACTAGACGAGACGCGCAACTTCATTCATTAACTCGACGAGAGCAATGTTTATTGTCGCATTTAAACAAGATGCAACACAGTAATAATAGTTATAAATTGGCAAAGTACTACTTCACGGTAAAAGATAGTATGTCAAACTCATATTTTGTGTGTATGTAGAGTTTCTATCAAAATTATATTTTAAGATTACAATGCAACAGTGAAAACTCCACGGATATGTCCCACATTTAGCATTGCAGACACAACTATCAGTGTTATTGTAACAACAAACTGGGTGAGTAGCTTGCTACTAGCCTCGGCAATTATGTTTATTGACTACTCCATATCTCCAGAATGTAACTACTTCACATACAACACATGCTTATATAGGAGAGAGAGATGAGTATAGGAAAGAACAATAGAGAGACGATAAAGAGAAAAGAGGAAAGGAAAATCAATGGAAGGTAGTATCAATATCGGCACAGTTATTCTCTACATCTTGTTCCGCTTCTTACAGTCGAGAGTGTCAATTATGTTATATAGACGTCGAAATAAACGTTCAGAAATCTTCTGTTTGAATATCTCGAAACAATATGTGCACTGCTTTTTCGTCTTGTATAGAAGCCGATATTTACGATCGATCTCAACATTCAATAGACGACGTTGGCATTCTTCATATGCCGAAGAGCGTGTTAATTGACTATTCGCCGTCTTAAATCACAGAAATTTCGGCATTATATCTTTTGAACGACAAGACTTTAAAAGTTGTACATTGAGCCGAAGAGATAAATGATGATAATAAAACTTCCTAGCGAAACAATACAAGATTAGCATGTCATGCTCTTATTGCTGACGAATATATGAAACAATATGAACTGAAGGAAGCGGAACTTGTGTAGCAAACATTATAACCAAAGCAGCAGTTTTAAATTTCACTTAAATATGATAAATCAATAGATTTCAAAAAATTTTAGAAAAAAAAATATCAATTTCGCTGTCGTATCTCAGTCACATTATATTCGAGCCCACAGAAGCCAATTCCTTCTCATATGATACGAATTCAGTAACACAAAAAAAGGAAACTGTCGTTGCTTATCACCAAACACTTTTCCATGAAAGTAAACATAAAAAACAGCAATCATACAAAAACATTCAGAATCATTACTAAACACTGTTCCTACATAACAACAGTGGCATTCAAATACTCATAAGAAACTACGTTCGGCATAAGCTTCCTGTTATGATATTTTGTACTCAATGAAATTTGTGAGTATAACAAAGAAATAAAAAATCTATCGAAAATTTACTACTTATTTGAATATGGATTTCGTTCAATGAAATATACTTAAATAGATTA